TTTGTAAACTTTGAAAAACTTTGTAAACTTTGTAAAAACTTTGTAAACTTTGTAAAAACTTTGTAAACTTGAAAAAGCTGTTGTAAACTTTGTAAAAACGTTGTACAACTTTGTAAACTTTGTAAAAACTTTGAAAACTTTGTAAGCACTTTGTGAGACTTTGTAGACTCTGTAAAAATTGAAAAACTGTGTAAATTCCGAACTTTGCAAGAACTTTGTCAAATTCCAAAGCTGTCTAAAATCGTTGTAAACTTTCAATACTGTGCAAAAACTGTGTAAACTGTATAAACTTTGCAAATTTTGTGAACGCTTTGTAAACTATGTAAATACTGTGTAAAGTTTGCAAATGTTTGTACACTTTGAAAAAACTCCATGTAAAATTGTAAAATTTGCAATCTTTGTAAAAATATTAACTTTGCACAAGCTTTGTAAACTTTCAATACTTAAAACTGTGTAAACTTTGTAAAAACTTTGTCAACATTGCAGCAACATTGTAAAACTTTCAATACGTCTTTAATTGATTTTTTAATGGTAAAACCTTTGTAAACTGGGTAAACTTTGGAAATTGTTCAAAACTTTGTAAACTGTGTTAAAATATTGTAAACTTTGTAAACTTGGTAAACGGTTGTAAAACTTTGCAAACTTCATAAAATCTGTGTAAAACTTTGTAAACTTTGTACCAACTTTGAAAGCCTTGTAAAAACGTAGTGAACTTGGTATAAACTTGGTAAACTTTGTCAACACTTTGTAGACTTTGTAAAACATTTTTAAACTTTGTCAAACTTTGTAAGCTTTGTCAACCTTTAAACTTGTAAAACTTTGTAAGAACTTGGTAAAACTTTATTAAGACGTTGTAAAATTCGCAAACTTTGTAAAAAGGTTTACAAACCTTTTACGAAGTTTTGGAGTTCTTCAAATTGTTCTTCAAAGTTAGAGCAACATTTTACACAGTTTTTAGAACGTTTACAAAGTTTTTTATTTTACAAAGTTATACAAAGTTTACCAAACTTTCACAAAGTCTTAAGATTTTGTACAAAGTTTGCAACTTTTGCAAAGAGTTGACAGAGTTGTTGAATTACAAACAAACTTACAAAGGTTTACAACGTCTACAAAGCTTTTACCATGGCCGTTCACTCACCACTCACGAGACAAACAAACCTATGAAATAGTCCTTTGGGTCTCGTATGTTGCCACTAACAACGCAAAAAACAAGACGTGTTTTATACCCTCTCTTAGTTCTGAACAACCAATTCTTCAGAGGTCCGCAAGGGTCAAAAACACTTCTTCTGCGCTAATTCCCCCGAAACAACGAACGACGGTCCCCAAGCAACTTAACATTGTATGCAGTCTAATGAAGAAGGAATGTATAAGTTCTTTCTGTAGCTATCCAACAATAATATTTAAGATCTGACTTGTTTGCAGACACAGACACACCTGCCTTGTTTGCAACCTCCATTTGGTGCAGGAAATATTTGGTCCTTTAAGAGCACCACACGCTCTTTCCACCGGGCCACTTGGCGGAGGAGAAAGACGTTCAGAGCAGTGGTGGACCCACAAAAACCAAGGCTGCCAGTCAGAAGTGAGCAGAAGCCATTCCTAGCTGTCAAGTATTCTGTCCTTCTTGGTAAGCTAAGAAAAGGCAGGCTGTTGGTCCTTAACCATAAGTGTCCATCCGTTTTTGACAACGATCTATATCCATGAAAGAGATCCTGCATCCGAATCTCGGAACTTCCCAAGCTACAGAGGCTCCCAAGAGCTTCTTCAGGAAAACACATGGTCTGAACCACTTGAACCCGACCCACTGTAAGCTTCGCAATCAAAAAAACCATTGCAAGTCCATCAAACTTCAAAGCCACCGATACATCCTGCGGTGGCCACCGAGTCGAACGCCGCGGCCCGCTGCACCCGAGGCCCGCTGCCAGATCGGCGGCGTGCTGATCCGCTCGGGCACGGTGCGGCGGCGTGACGAGGTCGGCGGCCGCGGCCGCGGCGGACGGGATGAGAAGACGTCGAAGGGCGAGTTGAAGAGGTCAAGGGTCCCTATAGTATAGGATGTTAGGATCTTTTTGAATCAGAAGAAGGGCGGACCACCATAGAATGTTAGAATGTTTCTTTGCTGACCTGCTGTGCCAAGAAAACATTTGAAGATGGAAGAAAAGCCATGCAAACCCTTCAGACTTTTCCAGTGGAACAAGTGAACCAGACTGGCTCTCAAGAACCAGTCGTTCTGAAGAAATGACACTCACGGCGTCCAGTATATAGTTCAAACATGTTCAAACGTCTAAAAAGAACAAAAAACATGGTTGCGGTCCGCCATTCTTTTGATATTTTACTAAACAAAAAACAGCGATGAAACATTGCCACGGCAAAAGCGAAGTAACAGTTGGGAAGATGCTACTGTAAATCAGTTTGTTTCTGCAAGTCCTCCTCCATGCTGCAAGAAGGATCAAGAATGCATTATTAATGTCTTTGGGGATTTCTTGAGGTCTTCTCACATCACATATTCTACAAATATATCAGCCACAGCACTGGGGGGAAAACCTGTTCTTCTTCATGAAAGACTCCCGGGTTGAACCCAGGTACAGTTGTCCGAATCGAACCCCTCGACCCCACAACTTCGCAGGCGGAAGACTTGCTGGTTCACCTGCGGCACGCACATGCGCTGAGCGGGAACCTGGAAGAGAGGTCCGCGACGTTCTGCGGTGTCGCGACGTGTGTGCTGTGTGCAGTGACTGATGGATGTGAGAAGTGCTGAAAGCTGGATCAAGATCTGAACCAGACTCAGTCTGGAGTTGAGACATTCTGATAATTGTATACAGAAGGCTTTTTGGTATACTGAAAACTCCAAAGTCCTTCTAGTGCCACTATATGCTACTCCACACTCCATGTGTCCCTTCCATCGCGTTCCATCGGCCAGGCTTTTGGCCGCTACAGAGGCCCTCTCTGCGCTGGGCAAATCCGTGACCTTTGCCGTGGCCCGGCCGACCTCCCGTCGCGGAGAACACCGTCCGAAGAGTCGGATCCACCGATCCGCTCGCAGTGGTCGAAACCTGTGCAGTCGGTCTCAGCAGTGTGGCCGACTCAAAGGTTTTCGGGTGTCAGTGGGAGACGTCTCCCGACTCAAACTGTTTTCGAGTTTCGACCTCACCACCGCCGACGGTCGAAGAGTCGAAGAGTCAGTCTCCCATAGTCGGTCTCCTTAGGTTTTAATACACACCCAAAGTCGGCTCAAATTGATCGTTCCATGTCAAGGACGATTCAGAGTGTACAAGGACGATGCATGACGATGTGATGGTAGTTTGCAGTTCTTTTCTACTCAAAATAGCTCCAATCTGTTACGTTCTCCAAAAATGATTCACTTCTCCACCGCCGTCCAACTCTATCCACCTGCTTCGGGACCCGCCGAACACGCCCGAAACGACCTGCGATGGCGGTCTCGCGCCGCGCCGCGACTCCTCTTCCGCACCGAATCGGTCGCCATGCGCGGCCAGCGGCCGCGCTCGAAGCGACCTCTCCTTCGGACGACGCTGCCTCAGGTGACCTTGGACGCTCGTCGCTGGGTGGGGCAAACCTTGGAATCTCCCAGTTCTCGGTGCCTCTCCGAGACCCTCCATTGGAGGAGCGGAGCTTTATGCGAACTTGAGAGCAGCCCGCGGAGGGAGGTTGGCGGAGGTAAGTGGCTACTTTGTTTGGGGCTTCTTTGTTTTGAAAAGCGCCTGGGAACAATGACAATACTGTACCATTTCCGGAAAGGGCATGGAGGGTAAGGTATATGTGGTTTCTAATATGTTTCAATACGGTTTTGCGCTTTCGCTGACTGGTTCGCAGCTAGCTACATGCTCATTCTTACAGAATCTCACCCTCATCCAGTGGATGCAGGTGCTAAAGTACCCTGGTAGAAGATGTAGAAGGAGCTGCCGGCACGTTGGTAACGGTTTGTGCTTGTTGAAAGAACATGCATACAGTCGGAATCCTGAGGGTCTCCAAGTGAGGGTCGGTGAAATCCTCAAAACATCTGGAAGACATATGATGGAGAATTGCATGAACCCACCATGAAAGCCCTCACCCACCCCTCCAGTGCCAAGATGTGTCCTCTCCAACCGGTCAAGCATCTGCCAGGCGCCAAGCAGAGGCCGCAGAGGCCGCAGGCTGGCCAAGCATCCGGCAGCTTTGGATGGATGCTTGGCGCGGTGATCGTTGACTCCGAGGTCTCGGAGTGGTGAGACCGAGATGGAGAGTGATGAGACCCAGGACGCCCAATCCCAAGCAATGAGGTGTTTTTTCGCCCCATGGGTTGTATGGTGTGCTTCATGTGTGCTTCATGTTTCTCCAGGTCGCTCAACAGATGTGTGTTCCAAACAGGAAAACCTTTACGGCGATCGCTGCACAATCCAAGGATTGGCAACGCCTGGAGAGGCCGAGGCAGTTTCAGCATCGTGTCCGCAGTGCGCCAGAGCTGCATTGGCTTGAACCACGATGGGTGCGCCTTGTGGCGGCGCCACGGACGACCACTCAGCCCGGGGGTGAACAACCTCTCCTCGGGAATTGGCTGGTCAGAATTGCCATTGTTCATCATATTCCCTTACTTCTGTGAGCGTGCAAGAAACATGGTGAGGAATTCAAAGCTATAGCAACCTGCAGCTTCCACTTCCTACACATCTACTGAAGTCTAGTGACACATGCTGTATGCCATATGATTCCTTCCCATGAAGTACGCACTACGCACGCATCCCTTTTCAGGAAGACTCCCCCCCACTACCCGCCGACACGCCTCGGATTTGGCCCAGGCGGAGACCGTGCAACGCTTGGCGCGGCGCGGGGATGCGGCGGAGACCCGGAAGCGGCTCCGCCAGGCGAGTCGTGTCGGTATCTGAAGGTATTCGAGTCGACAGGGAATGGTCCGCACATCTTGGAGAAGCCCAGAGAAGATGCGGTTGACAGTTATTGGACATTTTATTGTTTTGTTGTGGGAAGAACATATCTGAAATGTTCGACTTCTTTTGGAGCGATTGTGTAATCTTGGAAGGGGTGGAAGAAGCCTTTTGAACATGGATTTTGGCTCCTCTTGTTCAGTTCAATGTCCTTCATATGATTCTGGACCGGCACAGGAAGCGGCTGGACGGCGTTTGGAGAGGTCTTACCTCTGGGCAAAGAAGCGCGCAGAGCGGCTGCTGGAGCGTGCGATGGAACCAAGGTTGGTGGTCCCGATTGCCGCAGGTTGACGCGAGTGGCACGTTGATTCTTTGGTGGATCCCAGAGTTCCGAAGGGTTGCAGGTGTACTGTACTGAGTCATGTTGAGTCTATGCACGAGTTTCTGTTTAAAGACGCTTCTTTCGGTGTGCGGCAACGCTTCACGTGTTGAGCATTGCCCGGTCTTCGGGTGGCCAGGCGCGAAGAACGCGGTGGCCGCACAAGGCGTGAGAGATAGGGAGGTGTCACAGCAGGTGGATGGGGGAAGGGAAGTTGATGAAGTTGATCACAAGTCTTGGTCACCCAAACACTTGTGTGTTTAATGTTTTTTTGTGTATATAATTATAGTTAATTATATGTTTTATATGGTGTTTTCTGTTTAGTTTAGTTATAGTTGCTTGATCTAACTTGAGAAGTTTGGGAGGTTCTGTAATTCTCATGAGTTCCATGATACTTTGCAAGCCTTGCCCGAACCTTAATGATTAACGTTCTGTGGAAACCGGTCTGGCTTCCCCCTCAAAAACGCGTCTCGAGGCGAGGGGATCGTGAGAGTCATGTGCGCTTGCGGCTGGAACTGGAGCAGAAGGATTCGGACTTTCTTTGAATCACTTGCTGGTCCCGGCGGCGTTGATGGAACGTTTTTCATGTGGAACGCCAAAGGATGGAACGTCCATCAATTTGTAATTTGGTGTAAGGTGCTATTCACCGGACCCTAAGGTTTTGTGAGATTTTGCTATGGACTAAGGGCGACCAATCCCAATCCCTTCCTTGCGCAAGGATGGTGCAAGAAATCTTGTACGGCCTTTAGGACGAGGGATATCCTACGAGAACATTTATGAACAAACACAGTGTGATCGTGGATTCTTTGAAAGTCTATTGATCGACGCAGGGCGCAGAATTGGCGCTCGGGATTGAATAGTTGCTTCATTCGCCACGAGTTCAGGTATTGATGGAAGCTGCTTATATGTCCTATAGGCTCCAGACCCGCACAGACAGTGCGGGGCGAACTGGGTAGCACCCGCTCCCAAGGCGGAAAGGATGTGAGCTGGAGCCTCTGGAGCTTCGTTTGGGCAGGATGAGTTATTTTAATGGAAAGACTCAACGATGACAAGACTTGACCCACCAGTTGGGGGCGCTCCACTCTGGTTTTCTGTTTTGTTTGGATCTTGAGTTGATGATGCCCCCTAGATGTGCAGAAGTCCTATCAGCATGCTGTTAAAACTTAGGCTTCCTTGGAGGTAAGTGTCGAAGGGTGCTTTCCATTCAGACGCCTTTTCTTTGTCATTTTCCCAGGAACCTTCTGGAACTGAACTAGATTGATTCTCGTCAGTTCATCACGCTTTGCTGTCGTTGCTTGGTTTCCCCATGTTTCGGAGCTCCAGCAGGCTTAGGGAGACGTATACTATCGTATCCTGCTCCTTTGGGAGTCTTCCGACATGAGAGACTCCTCAAAAGCCTCTGGGCGCCGCGCACGGGGCGGGGCAGAGCCCCATCGCTCCGCGAAACAAAGGCGCCAGCAGGTGCCAGCGAAGTCCGTCTAGGCGGCCGAAGTGGCCAGTGGGATCGGGAAGGGCCGAGCAAAGAAGACTTAGGGTGTTTACTTTGTCTCATTTGTGATGGAAAGGCTGGCCCTACCTGCCCATCCACAGCTCCCCATCAAGAGGGATTGCAGGAGCAACGGAGGACCTGGAAGGTGATACAAAAAAGATCAAAAAAACAAATTTAGAGTGCAAGTGTGCAGTGCTGGGGTGCGGCTTTTGGCAAAAAGATACGAAAAAAGCAACACTGAAATGGGAAGAAGATATTAACCGTGATTTGCCCGGCAGATTCTGAATTGAACTTGCTGTCCCGACTTGGCCTGTTGGCATTACTCGGCTCGAATTTCAATGTTTTTGGGCGACTGGCGAAATGGTTGCAAGGGGGCGAACTGAGGCTGTGTCCCTGAGCGTTGCCAGTTTGCACACCGCACTAACTACAAACACTGAGTGAGATCACGAAAAGTTACCTCAGGCAACCTGAGTTCAATTATTATTTTTGCTTAGGACCAGGATCCTCCCAAATGACCTGATTTTGGGGTCGTGAAAGGCAACTCTTGTCAATTTCCCTTAGTGCCTTAATCTTTGTGCCGGTGTTGCTGGTGTGATTGGATGCGTTTCGAGCTGCTCCACTTCATGTACTTCGTATCCTCCCTCCTCGTTACATTGTTTGAAACAAGCTTCATCCTCGGAGTATCATGCGAATCATGCTCTCTTTCATGCTTGTTTCAACCTATGTTCCTGCTTCCATGCTTTTGCTGGACCTCATGTGCTGTTTTGTTGCTTCTGGTTTTGCTGTTGGTGTGCTGCTGGCTTGCGCTGCTGTTGGTTTGCTGCTGCTGCTGCTGTTGGTTTGCTGCTGCTGCTGGTTTGCTGCTGCTGCTGCTGCTGCTTGCCAACCTTTCGTCCACCGCCCTTCTCTGAAGTAGGACATCACCGACCGCGTGCTGGGCCGTCCCAGCTAGAAGAGGGTTGAGGACGCAATGCCTTTAAATTGGCAGAAGTTTGTTGAACCCCCTGTCCTACTCCAGACCTCAAAAAGGGTTGATCAAGAAGCATGTTAGTATATGTTTAATAGAGTTCTGCTGTCAATAGACGCCGAATGCACAAATGTTGTCTGAAATGTGTTTTGCCAAAGACTCAAAAAGCGAAAGCTGTGTTTCCATGTCAATGCTGGTTCCTGGGAGCGCAGCCTCTTTCTAATTTGTTTCCCGTACAGGGCATGTACACAGCTTCAAGCGCCTGTAGACTTAAAATTAGAGCACCATTTGGATAGGGAACAACATTTACAGCACGAGCAGCAAAGAGCACGGCAGAGGGCATGGATCACGGCCGTGGGTCCCCGCCGCCATGGCAATACAGTCGTCCTGAGCCTCCTTCTTCCCAGGCGGGATACTTCCCGTTCCCAAGTCGCGGGGCGCTGGGGGTGAAGTTGTGTCGAAGTCGGGAGGTTTTGACACCGTCAAGGGCCAAAAGTGGTTCTTGTGCTTCGTCCTTTTTGCAGTTTTAGTTCAAGCAATCACCTGTGGGTTATTCCAGACATCCAAAGAGCCGGGAATTCATAGCTTGATAGAGTTCTCTACATGAGGACAACATCCCTCTCTCAAACAAACAAGTCAATCAAGTGGAATGTTTGCCTCGAATGGTTTTTAAAGAAAAAGTAAGTTTGTTGGTATCGTTTGAATTTGGTATCCGTCGTTTTCCATCATGTTTGCCCACTGCACTGACAAAGACCTAGCATGAACGAAACGGGACGCGGCAGAGTCTGTGGTGCCAGCAACTGACGGAGAAAGTGGACTCGGGGAATAGTAAATTGAGCATGTGTGGGAGACATGATATGTTTGATTTCTGAGGGTCCTGTGCATACGGACGCTTTGTGTTTTCTTCTTCAGATCGCCACTCAGGTGAACAGATGTGACATCAATGTGTTGACGAAGCGTTTCATTGACAAGCGATGAGCTTGCTATGCCCGAAACATGAACATCTTAGACAGACTTTCTTTGATGCAAGTCCCTGCCTGCGTTGGAGTACACACCCTGTGAGGCCTATGGTGGGCCCATGCAGGCCAGTGGTGGACCCATGCAGGCCTATGGTGGACCCATGGGCAAGAGGTGACTTTGGGCGATCTATGGAGAGATCGAACGCCTATGTTTGTTTCTTTTGGGCCGCTGGGACCTGGACAATCGGCCAGCGGCCGTTCTGTGTCCAAAGAATAGAATAACAAAACCTCTACAGAACAGCTACAGCTACTGTGGAGCTTACAAAAAGGGTTGGGCAGCACGCTCTTTGGTGGTCCTGCTGCCCAGCATCCTAAAAGCAACATAATCTCATATCCCATCCATTTACTATCATTTACTACTTAATAAATACGACACCTTAGGACTGAAAGGAACCCGTTTCTGATTTGGAATCCATTGGGGCAGTTGGAAAAAGTCATGGTGATTGGATGCAACCAACACGGCAGTTGCGTCACCAGATACACCTGGAAAGTAGTCGCGTCTTTTGACAACGCTTCGTCTCGCCCAGACCGCGACTGTGATGGACCGCGCAATCGTGCGGGCCGGCCCCACCTGGCAGGTGGGGTGGTGGGAGGTGTTTGTTGCACCTGGGATGATGCTTTTCTGAGAAGGTGACAGATTTGCCAAAGGAAATGTTGGTTTCCATGAAGAGGTGAGGTCTTGAGTTTGTATCGATCTGAATATCCCATCAACCGCCGAAGTATTGGAAGCCAGATTCGGGTATCAATAACTTGCCAAGGTGCGCAGATCCTTTAGGAACAAGCAGACGCAAGTATGAACGAGACAGAGGAACAGATTTTGCGTTGGAGACGGATTGGTTTCCACTGACGCTAGGCTTCCGTTGAGGCTTGGGAGTGATCAATCTTCTACATCCATCAGGATGACCCTTTGTCTGTTTGAATTTGTGTCCAGTTTGGAGAGATGCCCCTCCTAGCTGAAGTATGATAAGCTGTTTCAATGAGGTTCACGGTTCACCAATTAATTATCCAAACATTGTGTGTCATTTCCTGATTGTTTACGGTCGTTTCACCTCCAGGGTTGAGAAAGACACACCTTTCATCCTATCCCAGTTCAGCAGTGCAAGCCTCTCATTTCAGGATTCAGACTCGACTGACCCTAAGGCTCCGCTGGGCTTGGGAACGACATTGGGAACAACAAACGAACAAACGCATTACAAGAGTATCAAGCTATTGACTTTTGTTGGGTTTCAGATGCTTATAAATGTATGTGTAAAATATATATATAATATATAACCGTCCTACGGCGACCAGCCGGCGGGGTTGCACGCGCGGTTTCTCCATCCCTTGAGTCTATGCCAGCAGTTTATCCAAGTGTCACCATTCCAACGCCACATTTTCGATGCATCTCCGTGAGTCGTTACATGACACACGAAGACCTGCAGAAGGACCGTCCAAAGGATCACCAATGGACAAAATGGACCCGCCAGTACTAGACCTGCCTTCCATTGATCGTCCGGGTAGGAAAATTGATTGCGCAGTATCACCTGGTGTGTCTCACTGTGGCAATACCACCAATAGCTGTCCTCCGCACTCGCTGCCAGGCGCAATGGACTCACGGCCCCAACAGGCTAAGTTTACCAAGCAGGTCAGCACCAAGCTCAGCACAACAGGCACGGTGGGGCGAAGAAAGGATTACCAATTGTTCTTCCACCAAGAACCGAGTGCGTAAAAGACCTAAAATGTGATGGTTGCATCAAGGGGGTCGTTGGCTTCAGCACACCAAACGGTTTGGGGTTGAATGTGGGTAATGTGCGTACCTACGCTTCAATCCAATTTTGTCTGACTCTGCCAGGCAGGCTTCACCAAAAAGGCGCCGAGGGGCAGCGAAGCGGAGAGTTTTGTTGGGGACCCCCAGCAGCTAAAGATAGGATCCACTGGTACCTTACATGACAATCACAATGGTGGAGGATGAGTGCAGATTTGGCCTCTCCTGAAGTGAGGCCATGGTTTTAGAAAGCCGCGTGGTTTCTTGTGCTTGGCAACCACTTGTGAGGAAGCAAGTATTTTCACAGTTGCTTCTGGCATTGGGTGAAGCTATGTGAGACCATAGTTGGATGAAGAAACCCTGTACTAAAGAAATTCTATGTTTTTACATGCATCGTTTTGCTGAAGAATCCTGCTCGGCGGACACCAAGTAATTATCCAGCTGCCAGCTGTTTCTCCCACTGGCCGCAGGACTTCGATGAGGTCTCGAAATGGCTGGCGCAGCTTCTACGAGATCCGCGGAAAGCCAGGCAGTCTATGAGGGCGCCGACTTGACTGAGCCGGCTCGTTGGGCGGGAGGGCAAATGGCGAATGCGCCCGCCAAAGAGGAGGCCTTTGGATGTTGATGGGTGTAATTATCGGTGTATGGTATGGAAGGGAATTGGAGAGATTGGCAAGTCTCCGATTTCCAGCATGGTCGATTTCCAGCTGGCTGAAGTGCCTCGCAAGTTGGCAATTGTTGCATGCCAAGAAGAACCCATGGTCATGCACGAGTAACCGTTTGTCAAGACACCCAGCGGATCAGATTTTGGCTGGTTTTGTCGGGCACTTTTTGCGGCCGGGTTTTGGTGGAGTTTGGGACTCACATCAACTAGGCCTACGTAGAGTCTTTTGATTCTAATTTGTATTTAGGATCTTCAAGTACGTTGCTTGAGGTTCACAAGCAAGACAATCCTTTGAATCGCACGAGGCAGGAAGGATTGTCTAATATATATATATATATAATGTATATTGTGAGTTGTACGCTGTACAACATGTTTTCACTTGAAGCATACCCGTCCGCACCGCAGGGCGGGCTTATGAGCTCAAAACAGGTTTCGGCCGCGACGCGCGCGAGCGCGTCCCAATTCGTTTCGCGGTGTGTCTTGGTCGCTTTGCTTTCCTCTACTTTGGCCACTTGGACCTTGACTACACACCACCCGCTACGTTGGACCTCGTTTGCCATCGTTAGCTTCGCATTGGTAGCGGAGCCCAAACCCGTGAAGGGGGAGGGCTCCAGCTGCGCACTCCGGTTCCTCGAGCCGCACGCTCTCGACAAGTCCTTCGGTGACTTCCCTCTGCGGACTTGGCCACGCTCCTGTTTCCTGAGTTCTTTGTTGGACACCCTGTTGGGAGGAGCACGGCGGAGATCTTTGTCCCACAGAATGCCGCCGCCAAAGCAGCAGAAGGGAGATGGAAGAGGAGCGTCGAGCTCGACGACATCCAAGCCAGATGAGACTGGCTATGCTGACCTTCGGGACTCCTATGTTCCCCTCTTCTCCGGGCAGCCGGCCGACTACAAGGAGTGGCGTCAACGCATCCAGCTCTACCACCGCAAGATGTCGCTCTCCAAACGGTCCCAAGAGAGTGTTTTGAACATTGTCGGATCGTTCAAAGGTGTAGTCTGGCGCCTATTCGAAGACTGGGGCATCGACAAGCTGGAGAAGGACAACGCCTTTGAAGACATGCTCAAGGTGTTGGATGGCAATTTCGCCTACGACCAACGGGTCCAGTTGCCATCGGACTTCGAAGGCTGAGCCTTCCTGATGAAGTCCAAGGTTGGCACCTCCTCCGTCGTGCAGCGCTGACAAAAGAACAGCGACAACTCCTGATGCTGAAGGCACCCACCCTCGAGAAGGCCACAGTCATCGAGGCCATGTACCTGATTCTTGGACAAGACTATAAGGGTGGAGGTTGGAACCACGACCGCAACCGGCGATTCTCCAAGTGGACCAACAAGGCCTACACTGCTCAGGACGATTGTGAGGAGATGGATGAAGAACCAGTCTGGGAGGAGACTGGCTACTACGAGGAGGACTACCCCATCGGGGACTATGACCATGAGGAGGGTGATTTTGATGATGAAGCTGGTTACTATGGAGGTCAGGACGATGATGCACCCTGGCCGGACTCCAATGAGACCACGAGTCCAGAGCAGATGGCTGAAGAGTTTGACACTGCCTTCGCCTCCTACACGGACGCTCGCAAACGCTTCAATGAGTTGAAGATGGCTCGTGGCTTTCTCCCTGTCGTTGCACTCACTGAGCAACAGCCTCTGCAGACAGCAGCTTCTTCGTCCTCATCCCCTACGGCATCCTCATGGCAGAGAAAAGGAAAAGGGAAAGGGGGAAAGAACAAAGGAAAAGGTCGTGGCCCCTCGGCGACCATTCGATTCTCCCCACAAGGCGCTGGAAAGAGTGATCCAAAAGGAAGAGCACGCGCCAACATGACGTGCCTTCGTTGTGGACAACAAGGTCATTGGGCTGCAAACTGTCCACAATCCAGCTCGCCTACCTCAAAGGGCTCAAGCTTGAAGCGACCTGCACCAACCGAGAGCATGGCACAAGTGGCTGAACAAGCCCTGATCATCTTCGAGGACAAGAACGGCACTCAGCGTCCTGACTGTGTGATGCTGGATCCTGGTGCCAGTGCCTTTCTCTCAGGATATGGTCCCTTCCGTCGCTACTTGGAGCACCTCAAGTTCGACTGCAACTTCCCCATTGAGAAGATTGCCATGACCCAAGGAAAACGAAGATTCCAGTTCGGTGGCGATGCTGCATCTTGGTCTACCTGGTCGGCACACCTCCCGGTGTTCCTGGATGGTCGCTACGGAACAGTGCAGTTGCTCCTCTTGCCCGGCAACACGCCTATGTTGTGCGGTCGCCCCATCATCGAGGCTCTTGGCATGACCATGGACTTTGCCATGAAGCGGATTCGCATTGGCAGTTCAAGTTGGCAAGAAGCAACCATTGGCCGTCAAGGTGAGTATTTGCTCTCGCTCACGATGGAGCACGACCTTATGCAGTACGACCCTGACCAGCCTGACTTCGCCCTCAAGACCGCTGAACCTGATCTACCGCAGATTGATGGCTTCACCCTGCACGACTTTGAGCAGGAGGAACAAGGGTTCACAGTCAGTGAACGAGCTGAAGTGGTGGACGACACTGCCACCAAATGTCTCCGACGACATGACCTCAACACCATGGACGTGCAGCTCAGGACTCACCTCAATGAGCTGTCAGCCTATGTGACACGTCACCTACATCCTCCAGAACAACAGCCGAAGCGTGTCCTCTGGGAGGTCTACTGTGGCTCAGCTCGCACTTCACAAGTGGCTGAAGCGCTGGGAATGAGTGTTCGATGCTTTTCATTGGATACTGGCTGGAACTTCGATCGACTTGATCATCAAGAAGCCTTCCGTCGGGAGCTCGATGAAGAAGCACCAGATGAGTTGCTCATGGCACCTGAATGCAAGCTCTGGAGCCGCATGCAAACCCTGGCACGAAGAACACCTGCACAGCAAGAAGCACTGATTGCAGCTCGACATCATCACCATGATCGTCATCTGTGCTTCGTACGCCGTGCCTACCTCAAGCAGGTTGAAGGTGGACGACACGCCCATGTGGAACAGCCCAAGCATGCGCTTTCCTGGAAGACCAAAGCACTTCGTGACTTACCTGGTCGACGCGCCGACTTTGACCAATGTCGCTATGGAGCAACATGTCAAGATGAAGACATGGTCTGGCGCCCAGTCAAGAAGAGCACCACCATCATGACCACCAAGCAGGCCATGCAGAATGCCCTCACGCTGACGTGCAATGGTGAACATGATCACTGTGCACTGGAAGGATCTGCTCTTGGTCTTGGCCCTCGCACCAAGTACATGGAGAACTACCAGCCTGCACTTGCAAGCACCATTGCTTCTGCACTCCTCATCGATGAAGCACCTCAAGCTTGGGAGACGGCACACACGTCTTCAGAGCAGAAGCTGGTGACTGGCAACTTGGTCAAGCTGCGTGTTGATACGAAACAAGAGGCCATCCGAGTGGTTCAACGTCTCCACAGAAACCTTGGTCATCCTTCCACGAAAGAGCTCACCGAACTGCTGGCCGCTCGAGGAGCGAATGAAGAAGTACTTCGTGCTGCACGCTCCTATGTTTGTGTGGCTTGCGCTAAGTACAAGAAGCCTGCAGATGCTGCACCGGCATCTCTACCTGTGAGCACCAAGTTCAACGATGTCTTGCAGGCAGATGTCTTCTGGCTGCGTCTCAAGAATGCCGTCAAGTACCCCGTCCTCAGTGTGGTCGACTTGGCAACTCGCTACACAGCAGCTGTCTTGTTGCGCTCAGAGCAATCCGAGGAGCACATTCGTGGTCTTGAACGTTGCTGGATTGCACACTTCGGAGCCCCACAGCGACTGGTCACTGATGAAGGACGTGGATGGCTGAGTCAGACCTTTGAGACCTGGACCAACGCCCACGGCATTGAGCACACCGTTGCCCCTGGTGAGGCACATGAACGTCTGGCCATCGTTGAACGAAGACATGCCATCCTTCGCAAGTCCATTGAGGTCTACATGGATGACATGCAGCTGAATGACGCCTCTGGCATCAAGGAGGCGCTTACCTACTGTGTGCCCCAGATGAATGGCACGCCTTCAGTTGCTGGCTTCTCTCCGACCCAATGGGTTCTTGGACACCAACCTCAACTTGCTGGCAGTCTTCTTGGTGACAACTTCCACCCTGGACACTTTGGCGGACATGAAGCCTTTGAGGCCATGTTGAACAAGCGCACCGCTGCTCAGAAAGCTTTGATCGAAGCTGATGCCGATCGTCGCCTTCGACGTGCTCTTGGTGCCAAGTACAAAGGCTTGAACTCCGAGTACAGCCTTGGTCAACAAGTTTGGTTTTGGCGTGACGCCAAACAGCCCGATCTGGTGAAGATTCGTTGGCTTGGCCCTGCCCAGATTGTCATGAAGGAGTTCAAGGTCGATGACACTGGACAGCAGCGAGTAAATGTCTATTGGCTGGCCTACAAGACCCAGTTGATCCGCTGTGCACCTCACCACGTCCGTGCTGATGTCAAAAGCTCAGGACATGCCCTGAACGATGTGCAGAAAGCTCTCACTTCGGTTCGTCAGCTCAAGTCTCGAGGAGTGACCAGGTACTATGACCTGCACCACTTGAACAAGCGCAACCTCGCAGAGGTCGAGACAGATGAGCACTCCGAAGAGCTTCATGGTGATGTGATGGAAGAAGATTCTGACCACGAGATGACACCACCAAGACGACGGCCACGCCTACTGCCACCTGGCGTGGAACCTCCTCAGGCCTCAGAAACTGTTGCTGCACCGACCTCCATGCCACCTGGCATTTCATCGGCGGCACCGGCAGTACCCTCGGCTGAGGAGTACGAACCAACATCACCAGCACACACAGAGCCACAAGACATAGCACCACCAGCGGCAGCGGCAGACACAAACGACACGGCAGCGGCAGATACACAAACCCCAGGTCCACTACCACGGGTCCCAAGCTCGATCTCAATATCCGAGCCAAGCGAGGAGCCGCCTGCCATCTCGGCAGCTCCAACACCTCATGCATCACGACCACAAGCAAGCATGACCCAAGAGCGACCATCGCTCGATCCGGTGACCGCCCAACTGTATGAGACAGTTGAAGGTGAAACCTTTCAGCAGAGGAGAGCTCGACTGAACAAGCAGGAGACTCTCAGCTTCGCGCCTTTCCGAAGCAGACCGAAGCCACCTGACACGAGGCCATATGATCCTGAACATCATCCAGCTCGACCAAATGACGAGCATGAGCTAGCTGGCCAGGCCTTCTACCTGGACGACCTGGACACCAAAATGCTGCCCAGCGGATGGTTCATGGATGAACATGGATTCCTCCAACTACATGATCGCACTACCGACTACTGGGAGCTGAAAGCTGGCTGTCTGATCAGGCATCATGTTGTGCCCCGTCGTGGACGCCTACACCTTGAGCATCTTCCCAAAGATTGCCCGGTCAATCCTGACCAGCTGGATAGTGTGCGTGTGACACTGATTCACCAAGGTGGAGGCAAGAGCCGTTTGACCACTGATAGCGGATATGATGGCAGTCCTCCCCCTGGAGTTGAACACACTTGGACTGGAGCAACCATCTTCCAGCTCAACGGCAATACTCGCAGAGAACTTGCTATGTACAGTGGACACCAACAGTTCACAAGTGCAAAACAGCAAGGAAAGGACCAAAAGCTCGCCAAACAGAAGAAGTTCAAGAAGGACAAGAGCGCAGTGAATGAGCGGGCATTGGGTCCACAAGAGCGAGCGATGTTCAAGGAGGCCAAGGTGAAGGAGTTGAAAAGTTTCTTTGACCATCATGTGTGGATCTTCCAGTCCACCAAGGAGGCAGACCCATCCAGGACTTTGACGTCAAGAATCCTGTTGAAGTGGTCCCGGAACCCTGACGGTTCTCCAAGGGCGAAAGCTAGATTGATCGTGCGCGGTTTTGCTGACCCCGACGCCCTGGCTGGAAGCATTGAGACATCAAGTCCTACCACAACTCGACTGTCTCGCTCTATGTTGCTGTCCCTGGCCACCACCATGCACTGGACCACCTGGACCGCTGACCTTCTTGCAGGGGCGTGAACAGGACAGAAAGTTGTGGGTAAAGTTGCCATCAGAAGCTTTGGCTCTTCTGGGTGCCGATGAAGACACCCGCATGTTGCTTCTGAAGCCCTGTTACGGCCAGATCGATGCGCCCAGAGGCTGGTATCTTGAGGCAGTTGATCGCCTTCGTCGTGGAGGTCTTCGGCAACACGCCCTCGATCCATGTGCATTTCTCATCTATGAGACTGATGATGACCACTTCAATGAGCACGACCCCATCCACCAGCAGGTCAACTCACTGGGATCTGAACGCCTGGTGGGCATGGTCATCATGCACGTGGACGACCTTTTGGGAGCCGGCTGCCCGAACAGCCCTCGATATGCTGCAGTCGTTGAACAGCTCAAAGAAAACTTCTCCTTCCGGGAGTGGAAGGAAGATCTTGATGTGATGGAGTATTGTGGTTGTGAGCTGCAGCGCACACCTGAAGGTGGAAGAAAATTGCACCAAGGCAAATACTTTGACAAGGTCAAGCCCATCGCCTATGACAAGAAGCTTCCTCTCCACCAGCCGCTCAACGAGCGTGAAGTGACTCAGTTGAGGGGCCTACTTGGTTCACTGCAGTGGCCCGCAGTACAGACCTCACCACATTTACAGTGCAGCACATCGTTGATGGCCGCCCATGTCTCCCATGCCACTCTGCAGACCGTCCAGGACTGCAACAGGTTGCTGAAGTTTGCAAAAGAGAACAAGGACATTGGCCTTGTCTACAACCACCTCGGTCCTACAGAGAAGTTGCGCTTGTTGTGTTTCTTTGATGCTGGTTTCTCCACTCGCCTCGACGGGTCATCGCAAGGTGGCTATGTGTTGATGATGGTCAACGAGGACCTCATGCATTCCGCCGAGGAGGGAGAATATCACATTTTGGATTGGCGCAGCTTCAAAACCCCGAGGGTGGCAAGGTCATCTTTGGGAGCTGAGGCACAAGCTGGCGGTCAAGCCAGTGACGCCGTCGACTTTGCTTGTCGGTTCTGGCACCATCTCATGGAACCCCACATGCCCTTGAAGCAGTTGCTGGAGGTCCAGTCCTCCCTGAAGCCTGTGATGATCACAGATGCGAAAGCTCTTTACGACGCTTTTCATCGTGAAGGTGCAAGCTCATCCGTCGTGGACAAGCGTGTGAGCCTGGAGATTCGTGTGATGAAGGAGCGCTTGCTGGAACTTGGGGGAAACCTCAAATGGATGAGCAGCGATCGTCAGATCGCCGATGGCCTGACTAAGGAATCTGCTCGAACCTTGTTTGCAGCTCGCCTGAAGCGCCAGAAGCTGAAGCTCACCTGGGATCCCACCTACAAAGCCATGAAGAAAAAGACCAAAGACGAGAAGAACACAGCCTTGGCTGAGACAACCTCCCAGGTCCATCATCAGAAGCCTGATGATTTCATTCCCAGGTCCGAGGAGATCATGGAAGATGAGTTTGTTGGCCCGGAGGAGTTTGTGAACTTTGTCCACTCCACGGACATGATTCCGTATGTCCTCGCCACAAGCCATGTCGTGAAGCGCCGCATGAAGTATGACACCAAGGGTCGCTCGAAGAATTTCATGTTTTGGATGATTTTCTTGTTTTTGCTGCAGTGCTGTCAAGCAGCACCTCCTACGTGTTTGGCGGATGAACCACCGCCACCGTCGCAGCTGAGCGATGAGCACTGGTTGGCCCTCTTTGCAGCAACACCCCTGGCGATTGCAGTGATCGCCTTCCTGCTGGGCCGATGGTCGAAAGGTGAAAAGAAAGAGAAGGAAGAGATGAAGATTGAAGAGGAGAAGGTGACCACCGCTGACGCCTTCACTCAGAAGGATGAGCCTGTTGTCCATGCACGACTTCGGGAAGCCCTGAAGACCGAGCAGGCCAGAGTGAATGAGTACAAGCTGGCAGCTCGCGAGTCTCGCCGAGCTGTGGATTTGGCCATGACGGAGATCCTCAACCTTCGTCCGCTCGTGCAGGATGCTGCACCCATGTTCCGTCGCCTGATCACCGCGATGGATGATCACATGGACCAATGCCCGCACCGACAGCCGATCGTAGCCTCCAGGAAGAATGGCATCTGCTGGCACTTTCCCACGTGCCACTGTGCGGAGCAGATCACCGAGCCGAACTTGCTGCAACTCCGCATCTGTGCCTACTGCGGAGATCATCGCAGTCCGCTCGACTTCCCGAGTCCAAATCCCTCTGTCTCGCAGGGAAACTGCTTGAGAGAAGAGGTGACTACGTGGCTGGCTGACTACAATGTCTGCCGGTCATGGTTTTCCGACCCTGAGCACAGGTAAGAACATCGCCTGTGTGAGTTGTACGCTGTACAACATGTTTTCACTTGAAGCATACCCGTCCGCACCGCAGGGCGGGCTTATGAGCTCAAAACAGGTTTCGGCCGCGACGCGCGCGAGCGCGTCCCAATTCGTTTCGCGGTGTGTCTTGGTCGCTTTGCTTTCCTCTACTTTGGCCACTTGGACCTTGACTACACACCACCCGCTACGTTGGACCTCGTTTGCCATCGTTAGCTTCGCATATATATATATATATTTGTTTGTGTTTTGTAGTGGTCACTTGCAGCCTGGCCTGGCGTCAACAGGAAGTACAATTTGGAGCTGGACCACGATGGATGGGCGAAGTTCCAGGCACAGATTGTGGAGTGTCTTGTGATGTCAACAGACTTCCGCAAGAGGACCTTTGGTAAGTTCAGGAACAATGGGCCTTGCATTTGGAGAGAAACCATCTTCGCAAAAGTAAATATGGTGCAATCTGAAAATGCCCTCAATCACTGCTTTGCTTTGTCCCAGGAATCTCGCAGAATATGCGAAAATAGATAGCGAAAGGACTCTCTCCAACTCTCGACCATTATGCAGAAGTGTGACCAAAGTGCGGTTGTCTATGGTTGCCTCATTTTGCAAATGTGTTCACAAAAAGTGTATCGGGGAACTTCGCACCCTCAATCCACAGGTTCACCATGGTTCACCGTTAGTGTTATTTTAGAGTTAGATGAAGAAAATCCGGAACACCATATTGGTATCAAAGGATTATACAGTATATACTGTGTTTGATGGATCTGATCGACATGTTTTCTGTGGGGCCTTTGTGTCCATCAATAGAACAGCCAGTCGTTTGGTCCCAGCCTCCCCGTGCGTCCGGCTCGAGAGGACGTGGAAAGGTGCCTTCGTGGTCACCGCAGCGAGCTTCGCCGCCGGTTGGTGCCATTGTTGAGGCCATCAGCTGGATCCACGGGATGGGAACCTATGACCTATGGGAGTAAGTATGTGTTGCCTAGAGTCAGGGGTAACCTCCCTCACCGTTTCGGGCGAGACAAGAGGGCAGAGACACCACGCGAACCTGGCTTGTTCAACGCTAAGCTATAATCCATCCTGGCCCCTGATAGCAGATACTGTAAGTGAAGAAAGTGTTCCTATCTCGAGCTATTTACTTTTGTTGTACATGAGCTGCTTTGAAGTGGGGTATCGAACACTCTTTCAAAAGGAAAACCTTCGGAGGGTGTATTCTTACAGTTCATGGAAATAAAGCAAAATTCATCAAACTCCTATATACAAGGAAAAGGCTGTATATAAGATTGGCAAACCCCTCAAAAAGTCCTTCACGTTGTGGCTCATGCTGACAAACCCAAGGATGGTGGGCCGGATTGGATCCTGTTTTCATGATCCTCCACTGGATTTCTGGATCTGGATTTTCTGTGGCTGACAAGGCAGAGTCTTCCATAATATATACTGTATATATATATATGATTATATATGTTATATATACTAGTGTACTTCAACACATTTCAATACGGATGAGGTACGATAGTCTTTGGGCAATTTGCGGTAGTCTTTTCTTGGATGTTTGTACCTCCTCCAGAGCCGCGGTTGGCCCAATGTCACCAAACTTAACGAGATATAATGAGTCTTCTTTGTGATACTCAAGATACTCAATCGCGCAAGGCGTTAGACGTTTGGAGCCTTACCAGTAGCCCAAAGCAACGCCCCAATTATGCTTGGAGGTGAATGTGAACATGCCCACTCTTTGTCCCCAGTGATGTGTACTTTGTACACGGACAGGCATTCTGCGAAGATGATTTTGGTCTATCAATGAACTTATGGTGCGGGGCGGGGCTGTGTTGGCGTTCGTTATCATTGCTATGAATATTGCTTAGGCACGCATGGCATTTGCTGCAGTCCCAGTGATGCAAGTTGTGATGCAACCCAAAGTCATGCATGTTCCGGGCCAACAAATAGCCTACGCTTGAATCTGAACATGAGAACCGTGCCACTCCTGCTGGACTCTAGCGTGAAAATGAAAACACCTTCGGCTTTTGTAGATGTTGTAAACTCGATGAGAAACTCGCAAAACCAATGACAGAGTCGTGTTATCATATAATGAATTATAGTAATTGTAAGACACTATATGTGCCAAATAGAGCTAGCATTACATGCACCACAAGACTTGATCTAACTGTATAGGCCTTTTTGAAGCTCAAAGTAAAAGTCCGCATGGTAGCGGAGCCGGGACGAGGATTTCAATAGATCTCCTCTGAGCTCCAGCAGACGGGGACTGGACCCACATCCCCAGCTAGCTCGGGCCCTTCGTGTTGCTTCGACCGCGCCGAGCCACCATAAACTAGTGTGGCAATCAGTGCCTGTGGCTATAGCAAGAAGCAGATCACGATCATCCCGGACTACATCTTTGCCCTTTGCTTGGAGGTTGATTTGGCCCTTGAGGAGGTCCTACCAGCAGGTCATCGAGAAGGTTCTTGAGTATAAGGTGGGAGAGTTTGCGCTTTGAGGCGAGCAGCATGGATGGGTCTGGAGGCCAGGAGGTCTATGGGGTAATGGCATCCATGCCGGAGCTCACACAGGCTCTGATCAATGCAGCACAGTCTGCAGCCCAAGCCGCCCAAGCAGCTCAAGCGGCATCCTCTTCAGGTGGAGTTGAGGGAAGCAACAATGGAGTGCTGAAGAAATGTTTGGCGAAGCTCATACCGAGGCCTGGTTCATTTTCTCCCTCAGACAGAGAGCAAGAGGTTCTTCAATGGAGGGATTGGTACTGGGTCTCAAGCAGTACTTAGTGGTGGTTGATGGCAGTTTCCAAGAAGAGATTGAACGCATTGAGGAGAGCATGTCAAATGAAGTTGACTGGGATTTGACGAGCAAGGCTGAGCAAGAGAGGAGTCGATTTTTGTATAGCTTGTTGGGAAGCTTGGTGCAAGAACGCCTCATTGGTGTTGTGAAGAATGTGGAGAACTTCATTCAATGGCTATGAAGCTCTTCGACAGATGTTGAGCAATTGCCAACCCCAAGCACGCAATCGCACCATGAATCTCCTGCAAGGGATTATGGCATATCCTTCATTCAACATGAAGGGATCATTGCTGCCCCAGATACTCAAGCTTGAAGAGCACTTCCTTCAGTATGATCGGTTGGGAGGAAGCAAATTGTCCTCGGACATGAAGTCGGCAGTTCTTTTGAGAGCAGTGACCGGCCAGATGAAGGTGCATCTCAACCTCACGCTCAATGAGGGAAGCTCCTATACAAAGATCAGAGAAGCAATCTTAGCCTTTGATACTGCAACTACGAAATGGAATGAATCGGCAGCATTGTCATTCAATTTGAGCCCAATACAACCCGCAAGTGATCAAGGAGGACCAATGCCGATGGAAATTGATCGAGTGCAGCAAAAAGGCAAGGACAAGGGCAAAGGCAAGAGTAAAGAGTCAAAGGGGAAGAGCAAAGGCAAAGATGACAAGGGCAAGTCCAAAGGCAAGAGCTTTGTGGCGCAGAAAGGTGGTACAAAGGATGGCAAAGGTAAGGGTGGTAAGGACCAAAAAGGGTGGAAAAGGAAAAGGCAATGGAGGAGATGTTTGCTGGACATGTGGAAAAATGGGTCACCAGTCCAAAGATTGCTGGAGGGTGAGACAGATTGAAGCCCCGCCAGCAGCGAGCATTAGCAGTCAGCAGACAACATCATTGTCGACTACAGCCACCAGTACGACCACTGGGACAGATGCAAACAAGGCCATCCGAAGAGTTTCACAGCCCCTCTTCTTCGACCTTCGAGAAGAAAGTGATGGAGAGTGTGGCTCAATTCGTATATTGAAGGAGCAAGGCCATGCTTCTATGAGTGTGGATTTTTCCGCATGGACATTGATGAGGACGAGAATGAATTGAAGGCAATGGTGAACACCGTGCGAGAAGAGCAGACAGAAGTAGAGGGTGAAAGGTGGCCAGAGCAAGAGGAGCAAGATGAAGAGTCCCTCACGATCATTGTGGACTCGGGTGCTGATGCTTCTTTGTTTCCAGGCCATCTGATGAACAAAGGAAAGCAAGTGCATGAAGTGTCGCCTCTTCTCCAAGATGCTCAAGGCACCAGGATTCAAACCTATGGCCATAAGGACATTGACATTGTCCTGGCAAGTAGTGAAGGCAGGAAGGTGGTTCTTCGAGAGCGTGTGACCTTCTGCGATGTGGTGAGCCAGCCCATTCTCTCATTCGGGAGGCTGATGAAGGCTGGTTGGTCCATAGATGGAGTGGGCGAGTGCTTGAGGAATGGTCCAGTGGAGGTGCCGTTGATGTTTCAGAACCGTAGCTTGGTGGTGAAGGGATGCCTAGGGTGATTCGACAAGCCAACACGGTTCGCACGTTGACGGTTCAGCTCAGTGAGGAGTTGAAGAAAGCAGCTGAGAGTGGTTTCGGCTGGCAGAAGAAAGAAGGTTTTTGGATGGGTCTTCACCTCAGCAATAGCTATCAAAACCGCATCCCAGAGCTGAGAACCCAAAGTTCAAAGATGCGTAGGTCTACTTTGGTGCAACGTGGAGAGCACTGGGAGCTTGTGGAGATGGCAGAGCCTTTGATGGGGCTCCAAGATCAGGAGGAACAGATTGAGGAACTGCGAGGACATGAGCAGAGTAAGGTGCTCACATTCGTGGCTGAGGAAGGGAATGACCCTGAAGCCTTCAGTTTCAAGATTGAGGATGAGCAGGGGATCCCAAGGCCAAGTCAATCTGACTTGGAGGAGTTGGAGGTTCCGAAAGCGCCCGCAGATGAAGATTTGAAGAGTTCTCTGGAATAGAGGTTCCAGGGGAAGTTGAAGACCATGGAGTTGATCTGGATGACCAAAGAGTTGAGCATGAGATTGGAAGGCCATTACCAAGGAGCATCAAGGTGAATGGCATTGGGTTGACAGCAGATTCGTCACCAGAACAAGCTAGAACTTCTTCTAGCCAAAGACCTTGCAGCAAGGGAAAAAGCATTTGAGGAGCGGATTCCCATCGGCAAAGATGCCTACGGAGGAAGAGAAGAAAAGGCATTACTTGACTCATCTTCCTTATGCCAGCTGGTGTTCGTCTTGCGTAAAACACAGAGCAAAGCAAGACCAACATAGAAGGACGGGCAAAACACATGAACAAGGAGTCCCGACCATCTCTTCGAGTGCGAGCCAGCGGGTCTGGCGCCCTGGGTCTACAGGAGCAGGACGAGGCGCAAACTGGTGTAGCTGAGGAAGGAGGAGCTTTGTTGCTCGTAGCGGTATGCTCAGAAACAGGATCATTGATGGCATTACCGTTGAAGACAAAGAACCAGATGTCGCTGATCACCCACGAGTTGATGGCATTCACCCAGGTCCTAGGTCATGAAGCGGTGATGTACTTGGCAGACAACGAGCCAACAGCCCGGCAGATCCTTCGATTGCTAGTGGCTTCTCGCAGTGCTACTGGATTGAAAACGAGCTCAAGAACAACAAGAATTTATGACTCGGCTGGGAATAGCCTTGTGGAAAATGCAGTCCAGAGAGTGAGGAGCTTGGCAGCGACTTTGATGGAAGATCTTGCTGGAAGAGTTGGATTGAGATTCAGTTCGCAACACCCTTTGTGGAGTTGGGCATGCAGACACAGTGCATGGTTGATCAATCGATATCAACCCTTCCAAGGTGTAACCAGCTATGAGCTCACCCAAGGCAAGGCCTATGAAGGGAAGATCAGTCCATATGGGGAAGTCTGCTTTGCATATACCAAACCGAAACAAGGTTTCAAAGCGGATCCAAAGTGGAAGATTGGCATTTGCTTAGGCAAGACAGATCTGCAAGACAATTGGATCATTGGAGATGGCAACCGTGTCTTTCTGAGTCGGTCGGTGAGAAGGGTGGCTAATATGAGCAAGGAGTACCTGGCCTGTTTCCAAAACTTCACAGCATACAGTTGGGAGTATCAACAAAACTTCGGAGGAAGAATTGTTCCATCGAAGAGACTTGCATCAATGGTTGGCGCCCAGATCAGCGTCCCTTTTCCGGAGGTAGCAGATGATGATCAAGATACTGAAGAGGTTCTTGCATTTAGCAGATCCTTTGCAGGAAAAGTGGAAGAAGCCCGGGATTTGGTCGCCGAAGGAGAGAAGGTGAAAGAGAAGCAGCCTGAGTTGAGTCAGAAGGAGACTGCAGAGGAAGCTCAGGTCCGAGAAGATAAGAAGAAGACCTTTGAGGAGGATCCAATCCCGGAGTTGGTGCCAGTTGCGGCAAGAGATCCTGACCAGTTTGATGAGAACAGGAATCAAGCAGGACCTTCAACACCGAGACCTATGGCTCAGAAAGTGGCTGCATCCCAGAGTGATCAAGAACCAGAGGGCAAGAAGCTGAAGCAGTTCATAGTCTTGAGGCGGATTCACCAGCATCAAAGAGGTTGAAGGCAGATGATGCCGTGGAGAGAAGGCTGGAGATGACTCAGGTGGGTGAAGATATCTACTACCACCTTGATCAGACAGTGGGGCAGGAGGAGTTGTGGTCCTATGACTATGAAGTTCATGAGGCCGAGGAGGAAGAGAAGCATGAAGTGCCGGAAGCACCACTGGACAGAACCCCACCAGATCCGCCGAAGTGGATAGACGATTTGGCAGACTCAGTAGAAGAATGGAGGCTGAAGAGATTGGGAGTCCTGGAGTCCATTGCAGAGCTGCAGGAAGACCACAAAGTACTGACGACTAGATTTGTGAGAGACTGGAGGATCAAACCAAATACCGCCAAGGAAGGGTCACGGAAGATGTTCTTGAGACGCTCACGTCTGGTAGCCAGGGAGTATGCCAACCACAAGCGGGATGATGTTCACAGTCCTGCAACGGGGTCACAAGTGTTGAGACTTCTTCCTGTGGTCTACTTGATGAGGAGGTTTGAAGAAGAGTCAGGAGGGCCAAACTTCGTGTTAGGTGCCTTGGATGTCAAAGATGCTTTCCTGCAGGTGCCTCAGCAAAAGCCCACGCAGGTGACTACAGCAGGGGGGCATTTCCTAGTGAAGCGCAACCTGCCAGGGCAGAGGATTGGTGCAAAGGCATGGTTTGAGCATCTGACGTCGTGGCTGAAGACAGAAGGATTTGTCTTTTCGCAGGTCAATCCATGCTTGGGCCGCTTAGAGTCAAAGGCACTACTCCTTATCCATGTTGACGATGTCTTGTTCACAGGAGAGAGAAAGTATCTTGAAGAGAAGTTGCTGCCAGCATTGAGAGAGAACTATGAGATTTCGGTGCAGTACCTGACGGAACCAGGAACTTCTTTCCAGTTCTTGAGGAGGACCTATGAGCCCTGAAGATCATGCCTGGAAAGTATGCGGAGACGATGATCGAAAGCTATGAGGCTACAATGGGCAAAGCAAAGAGTCAGAAGCTGCCATGTACGCAGGAAATGCTTGAGCCTGATGGGACGACCTTGCTTGAGCCGGAGTTGGCGAGCTTATTTCGGTCTGTGGTTGGTTGTGGCATTTACCTCTCACAGGAGCGCCCTGACGTGGCCTTTGCGATAAAGGAGTTGGCAGGATCCATGTCGAATCCTACCACAGGAAGTCTTCGAAAGCTGGGCAGATTGATCGGGTATCTGAAGAATACCTTGGGCCAACACACCATTCTCGAGATGCCTGAACCAGGAAGAGGACTCATTGTCAAGACCTTAGAGACCAGATGGTTGCTTGAGACTTTCAGCGACAGTGACTGGTCGGGTTCAAAGAGCACAAGAAGATCAACTTCTTCTGCGATCCATATGGTGAATGGTGTAGTGGTGATGACAAGTTCAAGGGGTCAGAAATCGGTCAGTCTTTCTTCGGCAGAGGCTGAGTTGAATGCATTAGTTTCCGCAGCAGCAGATGGCATTTATGTCAGAAGATGTCTCGAGTTTTTGGTCGATCAAATGGTGCACATGGAGTATGACTGCTTGGTGGACAACTCGGCAGCTGTACATGTAAGCCATAAAAGAGGACCAGGCAAGTTGAGACATATTGATGGCAAACTGCTGTGGATACAAGATTTAGTAGCTCAGAAGACTTTGAATGTCAAGCCCATTAGAAGGGTGTACAACATCGCAGACTTAGGCACAAAGCCACTTACCAAGGCAAGGATCCATTTGATTCTCTACTGGTGCAATACCTACGACGGTCAAGGAAGTCGTATCGGCCAAGATGAACATGACAGGCTGACGGAAGGCAATGCCAGTAGGAGCAGTGTCAAGAGGCTGGCCAAGTTCCTTCACAGGATTATGCTTTTGGCTGGCCTTGAGCATGTGGCTGGAGAGCGAACCTATGTGGAAACGGACAACAATACACCAGAGAACAGCCGTTGGACAATAGTCTCCATGATGCTACTCTTGGTGATCATTGCAGGCCTGTGCATTGTCATCTACAAGATGTGGGAGAGATTGAAGGTGATTGAAGAAGAGCTGGTGGAGATCAAAGATAATGCCAAGACTGATGGCATGATGATTGGAGCCTATGGTCATGAAGCACAAGAGGGCATTCGAGATGTCAGAAGCTACATGCAGCGAGTTCACAAGGGCTTGATCAAGGCATCCGGATACATTGATACAGAAGATGTTGAACCATGGGAATGGCTTTATTGGGACTACATTCAGAGATCCAACAAAGACTTCGATCTGAGCAGGCTTGATAGCCAATTGCAAGCCTACAGAGAAGAAGAGTCAAAAAGGAACAGACCCCAAGCCAGAATCCATCTTCCAAGTGGAAGACCTATAGAGGAAGAAGAAGAGGAAGAAGAATTGAGGCCGGGAGACACAGCCACAGTCCGGTTGGACTCAGGCGAAGTGGTCAACATCCCAATGGAGTACTTGCAGCCAAGTGAGCCAGAAAGTGAAGTTGAAGATGAAGAAATGGAGGTGGAAACAAATCTTCATGATCCACAAGATGACCGAGATGTAATGCAGAATCCGGATCAAGGCGGAAGACCAGTAAGCTCAAGTGATCGAGAGGATCCAACAAGAATTCAGGCAACACATGGCCGAATTCGTGATGGACAAGTTTGGAGTCTGAAGAGCTTAGATCAGCCGAAGCAGCGAGCTAGTTTGAGGGCACGACAGCACCTACTACACCTTGAAAAGGAGTGGTGGGATGCCAATGCTCGCGATGATGTAGAGCTCAGACTTCAAGTCTACAAGGATATGGATGAACATTACCCATACCTTGACTGTCCAGGATTTCCAGACTGAAAGGGTCATGGAAGTAGCACGCTAGCTAAGCTCCTGCCATGAAGGAGGAGTGCCAAAATAGAGCTAGCATTACATGCGCCGCAAGACGTGATCTAACTGTGTAGGCCTTTTTGAAGCTCAAAGTAAAAGTCCGCAATATGTATTATACATATATACCAGTGGTGATTCGATGACAATGTTGTGAAATCGATGAGAACGAGATGATTTGCACCAAGATTTTGCATGTGCGCATCACCCTATATATATATATATGTGGGAAACACGTTTCTGAACGGTTGCACGTTTACGTCCAATTGAAGTGCAAGCATAAGGAATAGGATATTCAGAAATTCAGGGTTAGTTATTCTCATCATACTTTAGGGCCTTAATCCACAGCAATCCCTGTTTTGGGTTCTTCCATGTAAAGGTTTCGGGTGTAGGGACCATCAGCCAAGATCCCATTGTAGAACCGTTGGCAGGAGAGTCATTCAGCAGAGCAAGTACGACGACGGCCCCCAGGCGCCTTGCAATCAAGTGCATTTCCTCTCTAGAAGTCTCCACCAGTGACCTTTTTGGAATGTGGGTGCATCTCAGACGGCTCTGCATGGACCCCTATGATAGGACCAAGAGATGACAGTCCATTGGTCCGCTCATTTTGAGACAGACCACACCTCATGTCCTGCCAGAAGAAACAATTGAACAATTTACCAAAAACATCGTGCAGAGAAGGTGACGCCAGATTTTATTGCAGTCGTTATTGGTGGGAAAGATTCACTGCTTCTTTCAAGTTACCCCTCGTCTAGAGCTGGATTTTATTGGTGATAAACGCAAGAATTCCCCGAACCAGAATCATGTTGAGCCAAAACGCAAGTCTTTCCTTGGAAGAGTTGTCCTTTGTAAGAGTTGTCCGTTGTTGAAATAACACGGAACTTCCAGTGGGTGGGTGGTGCAGTGACCATCTTTCTTTGCCAGGTCGGAGCTCTACAGTCTGAGACACGAAATCAATCAAATGCCGTACCGCATCATACTGCCATACAGTATTTAAACTTATACCCCTTCACTCAACAGCAGAAGGGTGGTATGACTGGATCATTATTCTTGCAAGCTAGAGCTAATCACAGCCAATTCTACAGGTGCAAAAGACGAGCCCACAAGAATCCCTAATTCAACCAACTAGAGTAGAAATCGAGAGGACATCCAGAGCAACAGAGTCCTGTGGAAATGTCAATTCCGTGCTCTGGTTGGAGTGGAAGCGGGCCTTCCCTCACCTGAGGCTGGACAGGAGCGCTTCGAGCTGGGTTGGTGGCAAAGGGAAGAGTATGTGCGATCCAAACGAAAGCGCCGCAATGAGAGGCCGGATTTGATCGTTGAACGAAGGAAGGGATCATCGAGAGGGGCTGATCTACATTGGCCTGACCAGCTCGGGTTGGTTGGCAAATGCTGTGGGAACGTGAAAGTAATGTGTGTTTGTTCGTTTCTTGCGAAAGCCAGCGATCGTAGAAGGCGCCAGCTGAGTGTGCTTGGCGAACGAAGTGAGTAAGTAGGGGGTGTGGGGGGGGGTGGCCCGAGAAAGGTACACGTAAACTCGGCACATGCTGGGGGAGGAGGGTGCGCGGAAGGATTGTTTTTTGAGGTTGCGTTGGAGGTGATTTTTGAGGGGTGGTGATGCAAGAAATGCAATTTGCATCATTTGCATCATCTGAATGGTAAGGTGTAGTTGGCACCTTGCCAGGTATAGATACCCAGGGTAGCTATAGTGCAGTTACCAGACTTCAAGTTCCCTTTCCATCAACCGCTCGATAACCTTTACACACGCACAGCAATCCGCAGCTTTGAAGTCTCATGCGCGCGATACCTGGGAACAGAATTGTAGCTACCCTGGGTCCGTATAAATGCTATGTTGCTATACTTCTTACACGCCTATATAAGTTCAAAGCACGAATGAGACTTCAAAGCTGTGGCTT